AAAGGCAGGAATCACTCTCTGGACCCCGTGTCCCCAGCTCCAGCCTGTGCTGAGATGGTGAAAGCTCTTGCCTTTGATGCCTCCCACCTCCAGTTGGAGGGTCCTCTGTTGGAGCTTTTTCCCTATTGAAATTCACCATCAGATTCCATTTCGGTCTCAAGTCCCTACCATGTTGGAAAGGAATGTAATCAATGAAACTCAGCTGATGCCTGCAATGGTTTAATCTACCACCTTGCAGAAAAATACATTTAAGAAACAACCAAAAAAGCAATGTCTGTTGTCCATCGATGGGAACGCGGGTTTAACGGTGGGCTTTCCCACCAATGCGAGAGACGTTGGGGGAGAAACTTTCTTGAGGCCCTTCAAGCATCAATGTGGTCACCTGAGCTGGGTTGGGGGGCGCTGCGTATGAGCAGCAGAGAGCGACCTCAAAACCAGATCGAAGCAGGCTGTGCGCCCCAGGCAACCTTGCACGAGGGACCCAAAGCGGACTAGGGGTGAACGAAGCCCTGCACGGAGACCGATCGCCGACCGAGAAGGGGTCCGAGCGGGGGCTGCCCCCAGGCCACCCTGGAGAGCGCACACCCACCTTCCTTCCCGCTGCCGAGTCCCGCGCGGGCGGGGAGCAGGCTCTGCTGCGGACCTGCGTCCCTCCGGCTGCAACACAAGACACGAGGGGTCGGAGCAGCGCCCGGGTCCCGTGTTGTAGCCCGAGGTCTCACGCCGTGTCGTGGGGAGCCCGGCCGGCTGGCACCTGCCCCGCTTCCTCTTCCAGGTGGGCCGCCGAGAGTGCCTCTCGCTGGGCACCCAGACGAGCGCGCTGTTAAACACCAGAGGCTGCATCGAGATGGAGCGCTGGAACCAGGCCGTCCTCCGGGGACGTAGGGAAGAAACCCGTGGTCTCCGTGAAAGGCAGCCTGGACCTGAGGCGTCCGGCTGCGTCCGCACGAGCCCCGCGCCCCAGGTGCACGTCCAGCTGGTGGAAATGCTCCAGGGAGCAGACCGGCTCACAAATATTTAGCTGTCCGCATGCCTTTTCCTTCCAAAAATGAATTACGGCTGTTTACAAGCCACTAATTACAGTTTATTACAACAATACTTCCTAGGAAATGGGTTCTTACTCTAATACTATGATGAGAATTTTATAAATGCCAGACAAGTACAATGAATTGCTCTGAATTATAATAAATATCTGTGCTTTGGGAGTGAGGCAGTAAACACAACATTATTGCTATCCATTTTCAATGGGCCTATCGAGGATTTATTACTTATTTATGGCTTATTTTTGTTCAAAAACTCCTACATATCATTTTTATGTGGATTCTTTGTGGTGAGTCATTTCTAGGTTTTCTTACAAAATAAAATGAGGTCTGTCCAGAATTTTTTAGAAAGGGCCCAAGTTCAATTTCCCCAAAGTTGACCTATTGAAATTTCTCCTCCAGACCCCCTGACAGCTAAACTCTTCAAGGAATCATGGATTGACATGAGAATAAACTGAGGCAATGCTTATTCTACTCCTGCTCCAATAATGCAGACCATCAGCCTTGTTCAAGAAGGCAACAGGCTTTGAACACAGTTTAGACGTTAAGTAAAACTGCAAAAATTTGATAAGACATGGTTTTCTCTCAGTGAAAAACAAGAATTCCACAGATTCACCAATTAGGAGGAAGAGAAATAACAATATTAGGTCCACATTTTATACAGAAACTTAAAACTGAATTGTTGTTTAGTCACTAAGTCGTGTCCGACTCTGCAACACCACGGACTGTAGCCCGCCAGGCTCCTCTGTCCCTGGGATTTCCCAAACAAGAATACTGGAGCAGATTGCCATTTCCTCCCCCAGGGAATCTTCCTGACCCAGGGATCGAACCTGGGTCTCCCACATTGGCAAGCGAATTCTTGACCACTGAGAGATACCTGGGAAGCCCTAAAATTGAATAGTTTTGAAGGGGAAAAAAAAAATCCCTTTTCCTGCCTAAAGGACCTAAAAAACTCACAAGGGCTCTTTCAAGTGACCTGAATTCTCACCATTGTTTCTGAGTGTGTGTGCAGGGGCCTCAAAGGCACACATTCCCCAGATAAGTTTTTCCCCCAAACTCCTTTCACTTTTCTGTCCTGTATCTCCTGGAATCATTCACCTTTTAAGACTTTGCTCTGTTCTTGGGGCCCAGGACAGGACCTCTGAGAAAAGAGACCTGTCAGGGGGCCCAGGCCTTGCCTGCTGCCAGCTACTAGGAGAAGCTCCCCCAACCCAGAGAGTCCAGACACCCCATGTCAGCCGTGTCCCCCAGCAGCCAGGCTCGGGCTAAACTCAGAAGAAATGGAAATTCTGTACACGATGATCTGGCTTTTGAAAGCCAGCAGAAGTGAGTTTGCGTTAGAGTTCTGTTTTAAGAAAGTGAAGGTTTCCCAGCGCTTAGCACGTCTGACTGTGAGCATGTGTGGCACCCTATGGCGTATTCTGAGAAACTAAGGGACGAATGGAGGCAGGCCGAGCCCTGCTAGTCCAGGCAGGGAGAGCAGGGGAGACCTGAACGGTGGAGAGGGGCGATGTTGCAGGAAGGTGAAGACAAGAGCAGCCTCCTGTCTCCTCACTGCCTGGCCTTTCCGTCCCCACCCCACCCCTCACGGCCCTGGAGGGAACTATCGTCTCCTCTACGCCCATGCTGAGATGGGGCTGCCTGGCTTGTCTGCGTCAATGAGAGGTCAGAGTGAAGACAGAACAGGAGTCAAAAAAGCTGAGAGCAAAACTCTCAAAACCCCCAGAGCCCACCTGCAGGACGGGGGGACCCTCAGAGGATAAAGGAGAAAAGATGCTTTAGTTTGATCAAAGAGCAGCTGTAGCAGGTGGACACTGTTGTGAAAGAGTCAGTCACTCAGTCATGTCTGACTCTTTGCGACCTCATGAACTGTAGCCCACCCAACATTCATGGAATGTTCCAAGCAAGAATACTGGAGTGGATCGCCATTCCCTTCTCCAGGGGATCCTCCCAACCCAGGGATCAAACCTGGGTCTCCCGCATTGCAGGTGGGTTCTTCACCATCTGAGCCACCAGGGACGGGGAGACTATTGTAGGTGGAAAGTTGGGGGCCTTCTGAGGACAGTGAAATCTGGAGTGGAGCAGGACTTGGGGAAACTCGAGCAGAGTTTACGTCCTGCAAGGGGGTCTTGGTGAAGTGCAGCTGGAGTTCAGGGCTGACACGGCTGCTCAGAGCATCCTGGCAGCTTCCCTCCAGGGTAGGGCCGGGATGGGTCAAGCAGGGCAGACTAAGGCCTGCAACAAGAGGGTGGTGGGCAGAACCCCACCCTGGCTTTGCCTCTGGGAGGCAGGTCCCTGTGTATCTCCCGGCAGAGGAAGAGTTCAGGACAACCTGCCCAGGAGTGACGGAGGGGAAGTAGAAGGGGAAAGGGCGGCACCAGAGACCAGGGCACGTGAAGTGAGGGTCTGCCATGTCCTGGCTTCCCTGGGACATGGCTCCTGCCCACAGAGCGCCCCCAGCTGGTCACGCAGATGTCACAGCATCATGGACTCGGAGGTGGACAGGTTCCCATCTGCAGGCCTGGCCCAGGGTCTGACTGATTTCAGGAAGAACCATAGAATCTTAAGGGAGGTGGTGAAGTAAGGGAAGGAAAGACAGGCCAAACGCACTCCTGGAGTTCTAGAAATCTCTGGAGGACTGGCAAATAAGCAAGAGACGGTGGAGCTACTTGTAAAATGATGAAGTCGGAAATGTTAAAAACGGCCATCATTATGCAGGGACGTGGGCTGCGGCAGGAGCACGGTGAAACAGGGCCCATCCACCTTCCATTATCTGCAGGTTCTACTTGCGCTCTATTTTCTTCTATTTATTTTTATACCCCTTTAAAATAAAGCCTCTACATTAAATAGTCACCTTTCATCCATTTGTAATTCTCTCCCTCTGGGGCACCATAAATTTCTTTTATATTATCATATTAGAGAACCTAATATATTTTCTCCCCTTGCCTCCAGAGCACAACTCACAGATGCTTCCAGAGCAGGACGAAGACCACACGAGTCTGCTTTATGGCGTTTTATAGGGTGGGCCCACTGGCGCCTGTTTTGCAAAGAATGCTAATGAGGAAAGAAAGACTCTGCACCTTGGCTTCTACCTCATTACTAGAGGAAGAAGCACAGCCGTTGAGAAGGGGTATTGAGCTAAAGTAAAAAAAAAAAAGAAAAGAAGAAGGCTTTTGAATTCTACATTGTGATGCCCTTACTCTGGGACTTCAGACAAGTCACTCAAACTTCCTAAGCCTTGGTTTCCTTCTCTGCAAAATGGGGCTGTTAAACCTGTCCTGGCCTTTGCACAGGATCATTTTTACAAGAGGAGGAAGATAGGATCATGTTTGTTACCCCTTAAATCTGAGTGAGCATTAACAATAAAACATTACATTGATGCAAGCTAGTAGTAGAATGATTAGTTAAGGAAATTATGTATTCTTATATATTCATTTTACAAACACTTCGTGAGCTTTTAAGGAAATGGCTACCTACCCCAGTTATTCTTGCCTGGAGAGCTCCATGGGCAGAGAAGCCTGGTGGGCTGCAGTCTGTGGGGTCACAAAGATTCAGACATGACTGACAGGCTAACACACTCATTAGTGTGTGCCTGACCCTGTTCTAAGTACCGGCAGTAAGGTGGTGAACTGCGTACCTGTTCAGGCCATTGTGGTCAGGTTGTTATCTGTCTTTAGGGGACAGTAAAGAGGTTAAGAGTGTGGGCTGAGCCAGGGCCTGAGCTTTGGAGCCAGAATGTTCTGGGTTCAAATCCAGCTTATGAACTGTGTAACCTGGGCAACATTACATAGTCCTTGTGAAAACAAGTTTCTCCATCTTTAAAATCAGGGTGATAGTGCCACATTCACTGGAAGGCCATGACGGGCAGGAGGTGAAATGGTAAAGAACTTGTGCCTGGCACAAAGATCAGGCTTCCCCAGGCCTCCCCACACTCCCGCCTCCCCTTTTCCCGACGCAGTACCTGCTGTTGCTGTCATATGCACCAGCGATGCTGTTTCACTCATGGTGACATGTTTGGACATCACGGCTACTCCCCACAAAGGTGACCCTCAACGCTGTCCTTGCTGATGGTCAGTCCAGATCCCACCCAGCAGGGGAACCTCTATTCCTTCCACCTCTGGAAGGAAGAACTTGCTGGTGAGGAAGACAAAGGAGAGGAAGAGGAGTTCAGAGAAGGGGAAGGTCATGGAGGCTGACAGCCACAGACATGGCCTGGTTCCTGCACATAGTAGGGCTCAGTATACTCGGCCAAGTGAATGAACCAATAAAGGAATTGATTTGAGCTCGGTCTTTCATAGGAACCACGGTTATAAACATCTGCATTTGCTCGGCTTCTACTGGGCGCTAGGCACAATCTTAGGGTCCTGACCAACTCTGGCAATAGGTTTGAGGCTCACCAACAGGTGTGGGTTACCTTCTGGGGAGATTCAAGGCACATTCAAGGCACATCAAGGCACTTCTAATGGGCACTAGGCACAATCTTAGGGTCCTGACCAACTCTGGCAATTGGTTTGAGACTCACCGACAGGTGTGGGTTACCTTCTGGGGAGATTCAAGGCACATTCAAGGCACATCAAGGCGCTTCTACTGGACGCTAGGCACAATCTTAGGGTCCTGACCAACTCTGGCAATAGGTTTGAGACTCACCAACAGGTGTGGGTTACCTTCTGGGGAGATTCAAGGCACATCTCATGAAACTACATAGGATCAGTTCAAAACTGCGAAATGTCAACCTGCAGATAAGATAAATTTAGTACATTAGTTCCAAAAGGAAATAGGGAAGAAACTTTTATATTCTGTTATAAATTAATTACTAAAGGGATGTTGCCTATAAGTTTAAATTATACATAATGGCCCATCTCTGGGAAACCTGCCTCCCCAGGTAATGAGCATTAAGCTAAAATACCTTTGCTTAGCTCACAGTAAACAACCTAACCAGACCCACCTGTGAATGACTGCAGGGAGGAGGAAATTAACACACCTCTGGTGGCTGATGGGAGCCAGGAAATATTTGACTGTCCTCCCTCCCCTTTTAGTATAAACGAAGCCTGAATTCTAACTCAGGCAAGATGGTTTTGGGGGGACACAAGTCTATCATCTTCTTGGTTTGCTGGCTTTTCAAATAAAGTCTCTATTCCTTGCCCTAGCAATTTGTCTTTCCCTTTATTGGTCCGTCACACGGGCAAGCAGTGCAAGGTTGGTCTCAGTAACAAAAACATTGAAGTTGGGGAAGTCGTTTGGGGCAGGAATGCCTTGGAAGCTGGGTTCCCTCCCAATGAAATCTGTACAGTCTTATCAAACATCTGCTTTCCCTATCTGCTGCCCATGACCAAAAATGAGGCCCACCTCCCTCCAGACTGACCTGACATGGTCATGCCAGACTCCCTGAAACTAACGTTTCACTTCCCCTCTTCAGGCCTTCTACCTGGGCTCCTGTGACGGCCTCCTAGTGGGGTAGAGACTGCTCTCATCCATTCTAATTGTCCCCACTAATACTACCTCTACCCGTCCCTCTTCTTCCCGAAGAATAAAGCTTAACTGCTTAGCCCGGCATTTTAAAAGTGCTTTACAATCTGGTCTCTGCCCATCTCCAGCTACTCCCCCATCAGGATTTCATTGTCCAGAGAAACTCAATGCCTCCTTACCGCCAAGCCCCACAACTTTGCCCACACCATGCCCTCCATGGGCATGCGTTTGCCCGTTCCTGCCCTACTGCACTGCTCATCCTTCTGGGGCAGCTCGGGAGTGCCTCGTATAAACACATCCCCACATCTCACCTCCTCAGTCACTGAGATTGAACTCCATTTTTTCATGGCTAATTCTTTCTTTAATAGTTAATTCTTTTTTATTTATGTACTTATTTGGGGGTCTTCATTGCTACCCGTGGACTTTCCTATAGTTGCAGCAGGCGGCGGGTACTCTCTGCTGCGTAGGTTTCTCGTAGTGGTGGCTTCTCTCGTTACAGAGCATGGGCTGCAGAGTGTGGGCTCAGCAGTGGTGGCATACAGGCCAGCTCAGTTGCCCCTCAGCACGTGGGAACTTCCAGGACCAGGGATCAAACCTGTGTCCCCCGCATTGGCAGGCAGAGTTTAACCCCTGAACCACCAGGGAAGTCACCGAACTACATCTTTGACACGTCTTTATATGGCAGGACTTTGGAACAATAAATCTTATTTTAAACTCCCAGGTTATAAATTCCATTAGATCAGGAACTGAATCATGTATGGCTTTGTGTACCCTGTGGTCCCTAATAAGGTATCTTGGACACTGAAGGCATGTAATAAATAGTTGTTGGACAAATTAATATTTAATCACTTCATAAAAGTTCCCCTATTTGTCATGGAAATGGCCTTCTTTCTTCCACAGTCACAAAACAATTCAATATCTCAGAAGCTTCTGCTGGTAACGTTTTCTCGAGCACAGTTATTAATAATTTGTCTTAAAATGTTGGTGGAAGTGCCTAACGTGAAGATAAGAGGTCTGCTTTCCTGTTGGTGTTCATCCTCAGCTGTAATTATCTGTCATAAGAGGCATGAAGAGGTGTGAAGATGAAAGCTTGAAAGGTCGATGTGCCACCTTGAAATCCTGAAAGGGGGAGCAATTATCAGCAGCCCTAAGAGCCCAGGGAGTGGGGGGGCACAATTAATCGCGTGTGAGGCCATTTGTTCTGCATGTCATAGAATTCCATCTCCCTCCCCTATCCCATCCCAACACACAAGCTCAGGCACAGGTGCCCACAGAGTCTGCCTTCTCCCTGCTGGGAAAGAGTCGCCCATGGATGCTCAGGTCTGCGGAAGACAGAAGTGTGCTTGTTCAAGGACCAGAACTCCAAAATACATGAGGGTCCAGGTGGGACCACCCAATCTTCCCAAGTGTGAGCCTCTCAACTTAACTCGACCTTCATCACTAAGGATCATGATCATGAACATTATTCGGTGTGCTGGGCAGTCGGACTGTGATTTTCTCAGAAGTTCCATGCCTTTTCCTCGCAATTGCTAAAATATTTCATTTCTGTATCTGCTTTTTGTAATTTTCCAATCTCCCCATGATTGTCACATTCTCTGTCGTCATTTCACAAGGGGACAGCCTGCAGAAATAACCCTTGTATTTGCTAAGGCCAGGAAACAAGCTAACCAAGCTGGTCAAGGATATGTCTGAGCACAGAAGTGTGCTGTTAAGAAGATTTAAGAACTAATGGTCCCTGTTATATTTATCCCAGAGGATCTAAGGCCTTTTCCGACATGCACCCTGGCTCCCTAGGAAGTTCAAGTTGTAGGCAAAGGAGCCCCAGTTCTGAAAAAAATGGTAGGCAAGCCCTGTAGCAGTGTGTGTATAATCGCCACTTCGTAATCAACCAGTTAGTTTCAACACAGCAGCATCATTCATCACAATAAATTAATGGCACTAATTTGAATTTTATTGGTTTTGTAGTTTTTATTATATTCAGTTAGAAATCTGTATATGAGCTTGCATGTTTAACTAGCATTACAATAACACAGTCAACCCTAGGGAGCCAATAAGAATGTTTTTCAGTTCTGCCTTGCAAAATCTTTCTCTGACACTTGGCCTGCTCACCAGGGAGTCTTGTCATTGATTCTGTTCTTGCCAAGATGTTGTTACTTGTGCAAAGTGACTGGCAATAAACATTCATTCCAAAGAAAGCACTGATGATCCACTGGGGAACTAGCTTATAAGGCTATAAAGGGGTCACTCGGATCATCCAGAATGTACTGATACTTGTCTTTTTATTACCATCGAAATACTCACATAATTTTTAATTAAACTTGTTTTGAGATAATTGCAGAGTCACATGAAGTTATAAGAAATAATACCAAGGGCTTCCCAGGTGACTCTGTGGTAAAGAATCCACCTGCCAATGCAGGAGACATGCTTTCAATCCCTGGTCCAGGAAGATTCCACGAAGCAACTAGGCTTGTGCACCACAGCTTTTGAGCCTGTGCTCTAGTCTGGGAGCCACAACAACTGGGCTGCGCTGCAATTACTAAAGCCCGAGTGCCCTAGAGTCCACGCCCCACAACAAGAGAAGCCACCACAATGAGAAGCCCTCAGGGCAATGAAGACCCAGCACAGCCAAAAATAAATAAATACAATTATTTTTTAAAACAAGAAAAGAAATAATACCAAGAGACCCCACACATCCCTCACCCAGTTTCCCCAACAGTAACAACATCTCACAAAACTATAATAAGATCACAGCCAGGACACTGACATGGACGACGACTATCACAAAGTACCAACCTGAATCAGATTTCCCCAGTTTAACATGCATTTACTTATTTGCACTTACTTTTGCGTATTTTTAGTTCCCTGCAAGTCTATTCCATGAGCAACTTGCGCCACCACAGTCAAGACAAGGACCAGTCCCATCACCACAAGGATCCCTGGAGCTACCCTTTTATAACCACACACATCTCCCTTCTATGCTGCACCCACACCACCCCCAAGCCCCTGGCAACCACAGAGCTCTTCTCCATCTCTATAGTTTGGTCATTTTGAGAGTCTTATGTAAATGGAACCATACAGTATGCAGCCTTTTAGGACTGGCTTCTGTACTCAGTATAATTCCCTTAAGCTTCATCCAAAGCATAGTATGTATCAAGAGTTTGTTCTTTTCTTTATTGCTGGCTAGGACTCCATGGTATGGATGCAACACAGTTTGTTTAACCATTCACCTGCTGAAGGACATCTGGTTTGTTTCAAGTTTGGGGGATATTATAAATAAAAGTGCCATGAGCATTCATGTGCAAGTTTTTGTGTGAACATAAATTTTCATTTCTTTGGGATGAAAGAAGTGAGAGTGAGAGTGCCTATAAGTGAGAGTGCCGGATTGTGTGGTAATTGCATGTTTAGTTTTATAAGAAACCACCAAACTTTCCCAGAATTTTTTACCATTTCACCCAACAAAGCATTTTAAAATTCTCCTCAAGGACTTATAGATTTCAGTTTGCAAAACACTTGTTTAGCGACTTACATCAGATAAATAAAATATCAGCAAGGTGTCCTTAAGGATATAAAAAGGGAAATGGCTAGTTCTCGATGAAAAAAAAATTAACTCTTAATTAATTGTTTCTCTTCAGTCACTAACTCATGTCTGACTCTTTGCGACCCCATGGACTACAGCACACCAGGCTTCCCTGTCCGCTATCTCCTGGAGTTTGCTTAAACTCATGTTCACTGAGTCAGTGATGCCATCCAACCATCTCATCATTTGTCACCCTCTTCTCCTCCTGCCCTGTCTTTCCCAGCATCAGGGTCTTTTCCAATGAGTCGACTCTGCATCAGGTGGCCAAAGTATTGGAGCTTCAGCTTCAGCATCAGTTCTTCAGTGAGTAGTTAGGGTTGATTTCCATTAGGGTTGACTGATTTGATCTCCTTGCTGTCCCAGGGACTCTCGATACTGAAAAAAACTTTAAACTTTCAAGTATAATAGTTTTCTGGCTAACAAACAGTAGAGGCTTAAGTTTTGAGGCAGTGTCCCTTGTTATAGGAATACCATTCTAAATAGCCTATTGGCTATTCAAATATAAAACAAATACCCCTCCCTCGGGGCTGGAGGACCATGTGCCCAGCACAGGCGCAGTGCCTTCAGCCAACGACACCTCTGAAGCTCCAATTTCAGGGCCATTCTCTTGCCAGGTCGCTTTGCAGACCCTGGAAACACAGTCACATGTTTCTGTAAATATTTTAAACTAAGATATTCTATCATCATTGC